CTCGAATCCATTAGTAGTACCTTTCACTTCAAACGTTTAATGTGCTATCCACCGAGGTATTAAGTCTAGCTAACCACTAATGTATATTGAGCGTGTATGAACGTTTTTGTAAGGGTTTGTAACTTCGTCTTGTTAAAGCGAAAGATGTTGGATTTGAGTTTCATCGTTAACGTCGACATTTGCATATACATATATATATATATATCATGCTGAGTAGTCCGGAAACGGACGAGATGCGCGTTCTTCATTCCACTGCTAATCATATTTATTACATTGCAATAAAAACTTCTTGTATGTATTTGTATTCATTTTAATCACATACATCATTTTATAATTGATTAAATATGTTCAGCCAGTTCAATGTTTTAATATCTTCGTTGTCTTTGAAGATGCACTTTTCATTGATTTGCACTTCTCATTCATTAAACGAAGAAATACAAACCTACATATATAAATATCAGAAGTCGTTTTATGGATATTAAAGTAGTTTTCAATAGTTAAGATCATGTGTCAATTGAAGATAGATCACCGTGGAAAACCTGGAGGCACCAGACGGCCGTTTCTTTCTACTGTGGGACTTCTCAGCAGTGCGCATCCACGATCCCTCCTGAAAACAATGGTGGATGTGTCGCTCAATTTCATGGATTAGTTGAAGTTAGACAATAAGACCGTTGGACGCCGGCTCAGTAGTCTAATTGTTAAGCACTCGCGTGCGAGACTGATAAGTCCTGGGTTTGAATCTTGCCAGGCGAGATCATGGATGCGCACTGCTGAGGAGTCCCATACTAGGACAAAACGGCCATCCAGTGCTTCCAGGTTTTCCATTGTGGTCTAGTTTCAATTGGCCCATGATCTGAAATATTAAAAAAATACTTACATAAGTGTGTTAACAATAGTAGGTAAACATGGATTGTTGCAAATGGTTTTTTGACAAAAATCAGCAATGACATCATAATATAATAATGATCTTGAATGACTGAATTACGTAATATTGTTAACTATTGAGTTACGATTTATTCACCTAATTATATCTTAATGTTGGTGGCCAGATTCTTAAGATTCTCTGTTCAATACTACTTTATGAAAATGATTTTGTGCGTCAAGTACTGATGATGAATACTACGAAACCTAACTAAAAATGTTTCACTAGCTGTTGTATCAATTTCTAATAAATCATCATTTATGACTGATACGCCCAGTTCAAATTTTACTCATCATTCAATAAAAGAAGGTGAAACTACAAGCTGAACCCGGACACAATCATGTTCATCAGTGACTTTATTCATACTGATCAATTTTGATTCATATCATTCGTAGATGCATGTAAAATTCATCACGTCCACTATCTCACAGTGTTTAAATACAGTAGGCTTACAAATGTTGACTTCATCATCAATTCAATTATCGCCTGTTAACATAACAATGGATTAACTTTCTCAATTTATGATGCTTTAATGAAACCCTCAACTAACTTCATATAACGCTATGTATTTCATACATCGAAACATTCTGCACACAACAATGATGGTGTTGTTATCGTCGTTCCATGAAATATTTCAGTTTAAAATTACATCAACTATCTTCATACTGTGTGATGTGATCACTCTCCAACATTCTGTGAGATTTCATTTGTTTGTCTCTGATCGAAACAGTCTTCATTGTTTTGACTTATGGATATACAATCCACTTGTAAAGAATAGAATAACACATGTATCTGTGTACTGTTGGTTTGATGACGTAATGAGTATTCGTTTAAAGGGAGCGGATGATGATGATATTCGTTCGTTGATGTTACTACAGTTATGAAATGACAGCAGATGTTCGCATAAATATCTACACTCTGATTAAATATACACAACTCACTCAGTCAATTGACCTTCTCACTCGAATGTGATTGATGACAAAACTATCCAGTCATTACCGTCCACTCTGATTCGTTGTATGTTCATTCGTTATGTTTGTTGATGTTAATGATGTTGTACAGTTTTGTGCAGTGGATATGCTCCAATTTTGTTTAACTCATTCATTCACATTAATTTGTAGATGGTTAATTGATGAAGAAGACAAATGTATGGATATTTGTACTTTGTGTTATGGAATATTCTCGACACAAACTTGTAGATCTAGTTTGTTGATGCATTTGACATCAGATGATCTATGCTCTCTAGAGTCGATTATATAGTTTCTATTGTTTGTGTTATTAAAGTAGAGTTGGTGAGACTATAATTTATGGACGACCTTTGAGCAGCTATGCAGAAGTGACCTTGAGAGTGTCTACCTACTAACTAGGTTTAAATGAGGGTTATATAGAAGTTTGAAGAATGAAGATTATAATATATAGTTGATGGTTTTTGTTAGGGTTTTCATCACGAGCTGACATCAGCTATAATGCCAAAACTCTTTAGCCAAATGGGTGAATGGTTTTCGCTCCAAAATCGAAGACCTGTTATCGTTATTCTGATTGGTTCGTTTATAAATTATAATCTCGCCTTAGAGTTAAAATACTTTACTTTTATCCAATATGGCGTAAGCTTGAACCCTTGTATCGTTATTGTTACTGTCAAGTCATTAAACACCGAACGGACATTTCTTTACTATGTCACGCTTCATATTTTATGAATTTATGTGTTGTTAATCGTATTAACTGTACTTGATCAATTGACCCTGTAAACCAAACAATATGAAATTAACAAATCTATGTAACTACACTTATTCTTATCCATTTGTATTTGATGTTTGTTCAGGAAATAATTGTTTAATCTCGTATTCTATCAATAATTAAGTACTTTCGTGACGTATAAATGTTCTAGATTCAATTCCCATTTGAACTACCAAAAATGGGACCCAATAACTAGTTGTGCTGTTGAGATCAGCAATCAATAAGAAACACAGCTTGGATTCATCACTAACGATTATTTAACATAAATATATTATTCGTACTACTTGTACATACGCATAAAATGAATTCATCATAAACATTCTGCCTATACATAACTAGTTCATATCGTTTTACCTTCTAATTTATATTGTCTTATGATTCATATTCGATTGTATGTATGTATGTGTGTGTACTGGTGCTGGTGTATTTGTAGATCTCCTAATGTTTCTTCAGTTAATTCAAAATTCAGATTAAGAAAATGAAATTGATGTAAAAATGCAAACAACATTTATATATTGTATATGGTTTGTTATAGTGATTAGACTGACAATAATTCAGTTAAGAATTGTACCAGTAGTATAGTTTTGTTGCTATGATTTGTTTTTACTTTAATGAAATTAGTGTTCAAAAATTTATTTATTTATTTGAACACATCAGTATTGGTACAAGCAATTACTGAATATATACGTGCCATATAAGTCACTTGATTTGTAGATGTGTTGTAATACTGCTAGGGTGCCCAGACCGAACCAGGTGGTTTTCTTGGGTCACCACACTTGGAACTTTCGACCTAAAGGTCTGATCCAAAAAACGGTCTAGCAACGTTAGGCGATGCAGTCCTATGTTATCCGGTAACCTACGATTGGTTCATACTCTATTTGTTTCTTTCAGGATCCTGAAGCCCATGTGCATCATTGGTTTGGAATCAGGATTTTTCAACTCCTCTAGATGGATCCTCCGTATCCACCAAACCGGTCAAAGCACCGAACATTTGCTTTCCGTCCCCTCAATTTCGTAATCAACAGTAACGCCACGAGAAGGCATTGTCAGGGAAGTCCTACTCACTTCCTTCTCGTGGTGGGGGTATTGTTTACGAAATTGATAGGACGAAAATCGAATGTTCGGCGCTCTAACCGGGTTAGTGGATAAAGTGAATCCACTTAGCTGAGTTGGAAAACACTGATTACAAACTGAATCGACCTACTTTTTAATATATTCAGAGATTCCATGGTTTTAGATTTATAAGAGTTTAGAAATCATGTCATAAATCAGTTTTTTGATTGTTTTCGATATTTTTCTAACATAACAGCTCATTTACGACTGACGGGAAAGATTCTTCAGAGTAAGATATATCTTAGATTACATCATAAAATGAACTCAATAGGGAAGTTGAACTATGTGGATATCAGCTAAGTTTCATGATAACGATAATATGGTCGTTGTAGAAGTTGATATTTCACGAGTACTCATTACTGACTAGTAATCTGAAAATAAGGCAAAACAACTGTTCATTGTTCCATGGATTTCATTATTTCACTAGGTTGATTTCAGTCCTTAAAGAAAAGTGGTTCCCAATCATGGATTATGATAATGGCATGGATCACAGCCAGATAGTTGGCACCTATATACGTGGTTCAGTTTATAGGTTGATGACTTCATTGGTTGATCCTACGTCTCTGTTTAGAGGATTCTAGGTTTCCTTCAACCTATTTCTGCATTAAAATCATTGCACATCAAGATGAATTCTTTACTATAACAAAATGTCTATTAATGAATAAATCGACTATCAATATTATTCATTTTATTATTTATTTATTTGAACACATAAACATTAGTACAAGGAGGCACCAAATACATGTAGGCCACACAATGACAATGAAACTAATGGCAGTTATCATTGCTTGTATGAGGACTGTAATACTGCCGGGGTACTCAGATCCAAGCACGTGGTTTTCTTATGCGACTACACCCAAAGCCCTTGACCTAAAAGTCTGATCCACAAGACAACGTTAGGAGATGCAGTCCCATAGTAGCCAGTCACCAATAATTGGTTCATACGCCATTTGTTCCTATAGTATCATGGAGCACATATGCACCATTGGTGGTCCACCACTTTTCGTCCTCTCGATTTCGTAGTCAACAATATTGCCACAAGAAGGCAGTGAGTAGGATTTCCCTGACAGTGGTTGTACAGGCGTAGCCATGTAAGAGCATTTTGATAGGGAGAGCTGACTTTCCCAACTCTCGGCCGTATCAGGTCATTTGTGGGCATCAATATTATTTACTATCGTTGATCCGTCTTTTATTTTAAATGTTACTATTGTTTTCTTTCTATTTTTAGTTAACTTTATTCAATCCAACTGGTCTTGTAGTGAAAATGTTTGTTATTGTATATGATTTAGCTGATATGCCACCAAATTGTCAAACATTCTTAAGACAACGTACAGTTTATATGCCAATTCAACAACATAATCAATTTCATTCATCTTATATAATTTCCAATTCAACACAATCAACATCTTTACATAACAATTCCACTTGTTCATTTCATAAACCTCAATATCATTCAACACATACTAATACGAATCATTTAAATTGTAATAGTACTCCTAGTACATCAATGATAAATACGAATGTATCAATGAATAATACATTATCCAATTGTAATACAGATCATTTATGGAATATATCATCAAAATCATTAACTGAACCAAATACACCATCATTTCTATCTTATTCATCATCATGTTCATGTTCGTCTATTACATCAATTGGTTCATTAAGTTCATATGGTTCACAGAATGCTGTTAATAATAATAACACTACTAATAGTAATACTACTACTACTAATAATACTACTGGTATTGCTGGTGTGTCATTGAATACACGTAATGAATTACCTGCCTACTTACGATATCTAGTTCATTTAAGGTAATAATATTCATTGTTTGTTGAAAAAAAAACAATCAAGAGAAACTTTATTTTCCTTATTTTTCTTAATAATGATTAAATAAACAATGATCTAAACTAACTGACAACATGAACTGGTTAATCATATTATTTATAACTAGATCAATAGGTTGTTTTTGATTGAGATCATGAACCGATTGATGTTAGACTACTGTTGGAAACCTGGAAGCAATGAACGGCCGTTTCGTCCTATTGTGGGACTCTTCAACAGTGTCTATCCACGATCCCATCTCGTGGGATTCGAACTCAAGACCTATCGGTCTCACGCATGAACACTTAACTTGTAGACTACTGGTGTTATTTTTCTAATAGAAATACCTCACTCCCGTCAACCAACAACATGAACTGGTTAATCATGTTATTTATAAATAGACCAATAGATTGTTGACAATTATAGCTCACAATTATTATTTGTTACATTTTTTGTGGATATTATAGTAATTTCAATAGTTGAGATCATGAGTCAACTCAAACTAGACTACTATGGAAATCCTGGAAGTACCGGACGGCCATTTTGCCTTAGCATGGGATTCCTCAGAAATGCGCATACACGATCCTATCTCGTGGGATTCGGACCCAGGACCTATCAGTCTCGCGCTTGAAAACTTAATCTGTAGACCACTGGTGTTAGTTTTCTGATGGAAATACCCCACTCCCGTCACATTATAGCATAGTCGATAATAGACTCCTCCATCGGAATCTAGTATTGCTGCTTCAAGTCTTACCGCTATTCAACTAACCTTCCTGGCCATGATATGACAGACATAAAAAGAACTTGCATTCCAGTCATGATCACTCAATTTATTCAGCATGTTTTGCAAACTCAACCAACCACACACCAAAGTAGCAGCTACAACCAATATGTATTTCGTTTAGTGTTTATCAGTTGGAAGTTATCTGCAGGAAGTCTTTATTAGCTTTGTTTTCATGTCAGTTAACATTCATCAACTAAAATGTATCTGATTTCCTGAAGAATTCACTCGCTCCTTCCGTTGGCATTCATACTTGTCGCTTGCCAGTCAATCGTAATCAGCAGAAAATATGCAAAAGCGACATTACAGTCAGTCACTAAGAACCTAGAGCTTCGTACGTACGTACATCAGTTTGAGTTGCCATACCACATCAGCACAGAGATGCAGTTTTCGATTCAAATCCCGTAGTGGTAGAGCTAGTAAGAGTATAAGCAGTAATCGGAAACATTAGAGTTTGATGATGTTATTCAAGGAGTATGATCCAGTGAAATAAATTTGGAAAGAAAAAAAACAAACGGACATGAAGAATTCAGAAGATTAGAATTTAGGAGGACACAAAGAGTGAATGCACCTGCGCCATTGCTAACAATTTTGAGCCAAGTCATTCAAGGTCTTTAACCATCGATTGTTATCTTCTCGCGGATCCCAACCAAGTAGTCTACACTTACCAACATGGCTCAGTCCACTTGTCAGTGACTTCATGGATTTGTGCCACTACTTAACCTATTTTGTGGTGTATGCCACTTATGTTGATAGATATAAGTAGCATGTAACACTAATTGGAAGTGAAAACGCGGGCAGCAGAAAACTAAGAAGGTTAAATTGAAGAGAAAACAGAAACGGGAATAGAATGAAATTGTAAACTGAAAGAATCATACTGAATTTGTAAGACAAATGATGAAATTTTACGAATGAAGTATTCAATGTATGGTTATCATATTTTACCAAAAGTTTATTTACGTTTGTTCGTTTATGTGTATGATTATCTGAATGGTTTATTCCTTAAAATTGCTAATCATGATTATCACATTATATGCACTTTTAACTTGATCTGCGTGTTTCTTTCTATTGCACGTTCTCTCTTTCTCTTTCTCTCTCCGTCTCACACATACACACTTGCACTCCAAATATCATAATACATAATCGGATTATGATATGAATTCATTCGTAATTGTTATGCGTATGTGTGTGTTTATCCACTTCGTCGTAATTGACTTACTTTTATCAATTCGTGATGAAATTAGCAGTTATAAACAATGTGATATATTGATCACTATGTTGTTCTATTCCCCTGTTTCTCAAGTACACACACTGGAGGGTAAGAAGGTGTATAATTCAAAAGAAAATGACTATCAACTCCTATGTTTACACTTCTTAATGGTAAATCACGAGAATTCGTTGAATGTGTATTCATGGGATCTCATTTTTATGAGTCGAACTCAGCTCACTTATTTCGTTAAATGGAACTACAACATTAAAATTTAATCTACACTATTGAATTTATGGATTCACCTTGTATGGATTTATTTGTACTTAGTGATATCATTTAAACCCTCAAATTCCCTGGTACGACCGAGAATGAGTAGAGTCAGTTATCCCTCTCAAATGCCCACGTGCATACAACCACTGCTAGGGTAGTCCTACTCACTGCCTTCTCAAGGCGGGGGTATGTTTTTACGAAATTGAGAGGACGAAATGCACTTTAACCGTGTTGGTGGATATGGAGGATCCATCCAGGGGAGTTAGAAAACCCTCATTCCAATCCAATGATACACATGGGCTCCAAGATCCTGAGGAAACAAATCGCGTACGAACCATAGGTTACCGGTAACATTTTTCTATGTTCAGTTAGTGTTTTATTAAACATTATTACTAAGACCACCTCTAATCCAATGTCCTTTCCAGGTGCGTCTCCTGACCGAGTGACTTTGGTCGTAACAGGAGAGTGAATTTCAGTTTTTAAGTAATCTTTCGAATTTATATTAATACGCCTAATCCTAACACTTCAATCAATAATAACTCAGTTAAATGTTAAACATACCTAATTACTATTATCGAAATCCACCTAACCTTAATTCTTCATTGGATATTATCCACAGAGCAATATAAACACTAAAACCACTTACTAAACATGTATTGATTCGTGTACTCGGCTTTAAATCACGTTATCAGTATGTGGAAGGTAGTGTTACAACTGTCTAGTGGTTGTTGATCCGCTAATTCATTAATTTAGACGAACCATCAGTGAATAATTAAGACCCATCTCTATGAAAGACCAGACGTTTTTTTCAGCATATTGCTAAATCCATGAATGTTATAATTATGATGTAGGGATTAGTTTGAGCTATTTGCTATGTTCACTATCTGATTAACGCATAATACGGTATACAACTACGGTACTCGAACATATAGAACACCACAGTAGCAAAATGAGAAGACAGAAGGAATCTAGAGAAGTATTGGTTGAGTAAGAATCAAAATATACAGAAAATCATGGGTATTTGTAGATATTAGCGTTTGTTAAATCAATATTATAATTCAACCAATCCGCAAAGAGTTATGTTATGCTACTGTCCATTAGTAGCATGTCACATTGATATTCTAGAAAGCTCTATCACTTTCTGACTGGATGGAATCTCTTCGGCTCGTTTGAGGCCTCTAGAGTCTCTATCATAGTTCTTGTAAGTTGTTCCAACACTATTCCTTAAAAACGTTATCGTAAGTCTACAGTTTATGAGGGAAAAGTTTCTTTTTCTTTTACAAGTTTTTCTATCTGAAAATTGAGAATATTGACTTATAAGTCCATGCATATAGATTTAGAATTTTTCACGTTCTCAAATACTCATATAGTTTATAAGTAGTCAGTACATTGATCCTAGTGACGATTTTTGTTTAATTTATTTTATACATACAATCTATATACAAATAATTGAATTTTATCTAAGATAAATGTTTTTCATTTTCGAATTTCGTCCAAGAATTTTCTCGATTCTGATTGGCTTCCTATATACATTGCTTTCACCTCATAATTAACCAATAGGATTTAAGGTCACATTGGACTTCATTCTGATTGGTTATTTCGATATACTTGATAAGTATTGAATTAATCATTCAGAATTATTTTATACAAATTTAAAAGACTTTTTGATAAATTTTTCCAGAAGTGGGTTTTGTGGAGATTTTAGTAATTTATTAGTTGAATTCATGAGTTAATTAAAGCTGAACCATCATGGAAGCGAGCCTGGAAACACTAGACGACTGTTTCGTCCTAGCACGGGACTCCTCGACAGTGCGCATCCCCTATCCCACTCGTGAGATTCCAACACAGAATCTATCGGTCTTTCATGTGAACGATTAACATTTAAACCACTGAGTTGTCATTCAACCATGTTAATATCCAACTTTAATGCATCCATGAAATTGCTTCGACGTCCGTTATTGTCTCAATGAGTAACTTCATCTACAATAGATTCGGTTGAATTACACTGGTTATGACTTCTAAATGTTTCAAGAAATTGGATCATTTGCTAGTCAATTAATATATAGTTTTTATGTGATAATCTTGGTTTGTATTCTAGAACAAACATTATAACTTATTCTCTTTATATTCTCAATTTTTGTTTTGTATAGATTTCATACAACTCGTTCAGGTAAATTATACCTTCATACAGATTTACGTTTAATATTTTCACGTGATAAATTTGAATTTGATCCACGTATAGCAACTTATGAATTACGTTCATTTGTTGATGCTCCATCAAATCCACGTTATTCACCAAAAAAATGGTCAACACGTCATCAGAATATAACAAAATATCAAAAATCAATTCATCATTCAAAGATTACATAATACAAGAATGTTCTAATTGATGTTGCCTCATTCGTTTTTTCCATAAATCAATTCCAATTTAAGATTATTGAAAATTCATTCAATGATTCGTTTATTTTCATAAACCTTTACAAGTATCTATATCTATATATATATACTCCCCCTTTACATCTATGTTAATATTGTTTAACTGTTTGTTCATGTGCATGGGCTTCAGTACTCTGTTTTCCTTTTTTGGTGTTTATTTTCTTACTGTGATATTATCTCCTTGGAATATTTACGTACACACCCACATATATATATCTTGCTTTTTTACTTCTTTCTATTCTTTAATATACTAACTATATATCACCACACAGTTGTGCATTTTCCTTCTTTGTGCCTATATATTCAGTGGTTACGGTTTGACTGAATACCACTACTACTACTACAGTGGTGTAGGTTACTTATATCCATATGAGTAATATATAACGGTGGTCAGGCATAAAATGTATTCCAGTAGAAGATCAATAAGGAAAGAACGAAAACGGAGCACAGTTGATATGAAAATACATGAACAATGAAATCTGAGACAATGACCTGATATTTGCAAAAGATACAGTGAAGTTTGAGACAATGGATTGATATTTTGTAAATGAAGTATTTACTATATGGTTCTCAGATTTTAGTAAGATGCTCTGTCATTTCGTGTTCAAATACATTCGATTGTCTCCACCGGTGCTTTTGTTCACTACACTACTACTACTACTACTACTCTATCGGTTTAATATTCAGTTATAACGTTTAGAAATTGTATATTACATAATGATAAAATACTTTATTATTATCTTTCTGACTATCGTTTATCCATCCATCCATCATTCTGATTAGTTTGGGAGAATATTCACCTTTTTACTATGTATTTTCTCTCTCTCTCTTCGAATATTCCACACGTTGATGAATTCCATACAAACATATACCATTTCATATAAAGTTACAAGATCCTCTATGAATAAGAATTCAATCATATATCATGTCTATATACAAGTGAATGATTCATTTCTTATCATATTGGATAGGATTGGATTTACAATATTTTAATGTATATACTACTATTATTATCATTCATATTACAATTGATATTGTTATTATAACTTATATCACTAATATTTATTACCTTTTTGCACTACTTAAATTTGTTAATTATTTGTATACTTGAGCATATATACCCCTCTGAATATACAGTTCGATAACAGTTGCCATTTAGTATAATAGTATCTTATGTGAACTCATATATCTATACACACATACAGTGCTAGTCAATGATGTTTACGTGGTTTTATTATTACTTCTACTGTCATTAATCACTTAGCGATTAGTTATAAACTCGTTTTTTTTTTGTTGTTGTTGTTGTTGTTTATTTCTTCATTTCTGTTCTGTTTTTTTTTTGCTTCTGAAGACTGGTTGTTTCTTTCTTGAAATGTCTTTCTGTGTAGTTGATTTGTTGTCCCATTTTGTGAGAGGTTATTGATGTTTTATTGGATTCCTCGATACTTTTGTTTTCATATTTGTGTCTTTCATCATTGTTAACATGTTTGAAGCGAACAGATAAAATGGTTTTTACCTGTTGGATTTTCATACAATTTAATTTATGTGTATGTATTCTATATGGGTGTGTATATCTCTTATTCATTCCCAACTTAATCACTTATCCACACATTACGCACACAGATTAGATACTAAACCTATTCATAATAATGACAGTACTTACCCTCTTTTTTTTCTCTCCCTATCGTGTAATGTTTAATAGTTGTGAAGGGTGTATGGTGATGATGATGATGATGACGGTAACTTTACCTAGTGATTAGTAAATAATACTAACTATATTGATCAATAAATTGTTGAATTATGATCATCTATGATGCACTAGAAAACGATATTGTAAAAGGAGATGAGTTTCACACATACAAACATACATGGATCTATTTAGAAGAATTGATTTTTATGATCAATTACATTGTATCAAGTTCTTCTTTCGTGAAAATGTTTTGCAGACTATTCATTTATTTGTCAATATTGTTTACATACCTCTATCTCTTTGTATATTTGGATGTGTGCGCAATTAGTTTGCATTCTCATTATTGATTGATTGTTCAAGATCAATCATTCAATGTTATGAAGATGCTTGTTTGGTTCTCTGATTCTTTTTTTTTTGTATGTCCAATAATCGATTCATACACACACTCACTCACATGCATACTCATTCGCTCAATCACATTCTGTGATGCAACTTATCTTGTTTGTATATCCATGCCTTTACTCAGTACAAGAATGTATTGTTTAACTACCTTCATTTATGTGCTTCTTTCTGGGTTATTTTGTTGCTGTTATTTTTTTTCAGTTTCTTTTTCATTTGTTTATCTACTGATATTATTTTCTTTATTATTTGTCGAAAAATAATTGATTGTCACAATTCTTGTTGTTTTCTGCAATTGATCAGTCCCTTGTTGGCATATTTGCATCCTGTACGGACTGCTTCGATACCGCCTTAATTCATAAGCTTTATAAGCAAAGATATATAGTGACTAGTAGTGGAATCCAGTTTGACGCACGTTTCGTCCTATTTGGAACTCGTCAGTTGGATTTACCTACATCTGAGAGTTAATTTTCACTCTGGGACTCGAACCTGGTACCATCCGCGTCAAACGCCATGGCGTTATCCACTTAGATACTGAGTCCTGATAGCCACCTGTTTGTGCAATGGGGTGAAGTTTAAATTCACTTGGTGTTGTTTTATTTGTATCTTCCCATTGTTATTTAGGACTGCAATTGATCAGTCTCTTTTTGGCATATGTGCATCCTGTGCGAACTGCCTCGATATTTCTCTTTAAACTGTTGATTATAGAAATCCATAATTAGTAAATAGGTTATGTGCTTTGATAGTATTATTGTAAACGCCAATGAATAAATGTTACAATGAAATTAATAGAATAAGTTCAATATCAAGTGAACTCAATACATCTTGAGTTACAATATTCCCTCATAACTTCAAGGCCATCGTATATGCCCCATTGTGACGATAAAGTTAAGGTAGGATACTTACTTACGCCTGTTACTCCTCGTGTAGGAGCATAGGCCGCCCACCAGGGTAGGATAGACTTAAATAATAATAATATGATGGATTGATTCATCTAGTTTTTGAACCCTTATATATCTTTCAGTAATCGTACAGTAAAAATGTAATTCACCATGCTGTTATATATAAACTTGTTCACGAAATTGATCGGTTGTGTTCCACAGTTCTTGTGCACATGGTATTATACATATTGTGATTACTCAGTGGAATAGATGTGGATGCTAAACGGAACCGACGTTCCGTTTGTGCATGACTGGTCCTTACGGAATCCTGTCTGTTGATCTCGACGTTGGGCGTCTTTTTAGTCTTTCATTCGGTTCAGCGACACTGTTGAAAACCTTTGGTGTTACCGATAGTGGTGTATTACCTCGGTAGTTCTCGCAGTTGCTGAGATCTTTATTTGGTATCTTAATGAGATATCCTTCTTTCCATTCTGTTGACACTCGTTCCCTCTCTCAATTCTTCCTTCCTAGAGTGTGGTGAATATTTCCAGTTACTTCTATGTCTAACTTTATTTCCGTTATTAATAGTTCAGGCAAGAAACACATCAATAGAAATCTTGATAAATTCTTTTCTAGTATGAGTATACTAGTCCGTTTTCTGACTTATAACATGGCCAATGAAACACCTAGACTTGCACAAATAACCTTGAGCAACGGTGAGATCATTTTGACTTGTTGATCCACCGATGTGAGCGCTTACCTCTATCTCAAGTCTTCAGCCCCATATGAAAACACATCAGAAAAGTTTCTGTTATTATACTTCAACCACACAATATCTTTATATATACCACAATAAAGTTGAAATGTGCCCACTAGTCCAAGTGGGTTTTCGACTCTGAGTGGTTGTAGATAGGGAGCGAATTACGCTACATGACCCAAGTCTCATGCTAGTAGATATTCCTTAATACAGTATTTCTAAAGTCTTGAAGCAACCATCGCTATTCAAAAAATTTGAAGCCATCTGAGACATTTACTACTGGTCAATTTTGTCTGCAACTAGTCTCCTGTAGGATAAATATTACAGTATTGCTTTATCACTAAGTAGCAATCGATTGTTTGTGTAAATTTCACTTTAACTGACACTAGTTAAAGTTGATTTGAATCCCATGAAATTCAACAGTACCTTGGATATTCCAGACACACTTTAATAAAGAGTTACAACTAGCCAATTCATCAGTACTTCCTACCGATTGCCATAAATCATTTGACGTATATTAGTTACTTTTCAGTTTACAAACAAATAAATAGGGACATAAATATTATTGTCATTACTCATTAGTATACTGGATGGTGAACCCATCATTTGAAGTATTTTTAGTGCTTAATTTAAAGATGAATATGCCCTTAGTCAACCAAACCGACTACGGCATATATTTATTCAAGCTTGTAGTGACCTACTTTTATCAAGAGAACGCGATTGGTTTAACGGAAACAATTATTATTATAACCAGTTGTACCAGTGATTGTTTTACTGTACTTGCTTTCTTCCTTTGATTGTGTGTGACCTTGCATGAATTCGGTTACGCTCAGTAACCACACTTGTATTCCTTTGTTACGATCTCGGTATTCTTTCGATACCACGAGATCGCCAACGAATACATCTCGACTACAGCCATCAACTTTCTTCTGATATTTGACTTACGGAGGATGTTATCGGTTAACTGGCGCATAGTCTTCCTGTAGAGGTGATCATAGTCAACCGTGACTTGACACCACACTACAAGCTCTCAAATAAATCCTACTGATGCTTGTTCATGTACATGAATTATTGGATAAACATTTAATAGAGTTGAAAACAGAATGACCATACTGAACCATCCTAATACAATCAATAGAAGGATGTTATGATTAAGAAGTGATAGTGATGAGTCAAACATAGTTTTTAAAAAAATGTATTCTGAAAA